AGCCATAGCGTGCACTATTTATAAATAAATAACCATGGTATATAAGAGAATTCAAGATGCACGATAATTTTGGTAGAAAGGGGTAGATTTTAACCTCTGCCAAAATCATGAATATGCATAGTGTCAAAAATGAATAGTGAAATGATGGAAGATTGGGGGTGGCCAAAAGGCATCATTTATTCACATAATGTAGAGAAAAATTATGAAACCAGCACTACATCATAAAACAATGGCTGCAATTCTGGATGACTTTTAAGGAAGATAAGATAAATGCTTGGAGAATTAGACTAAAAATGAGCTTCCCCTTGGTAATGTGAAATTGTATGGCTTTAATTTTCCTAAATTATTTTAAACTATTGACTCCACTTGGTCCTTAAATCCATGGTGAAACAAAAACATTTTAGACAAACAGACATACATGGGACTAAGTTTTGCTCCAAGCATAATAGGGAGTTGCATATCATAAACGAAACTTATATTTTATGAAACAGCCTATGAGGAATCATATATATATATATATATATATATATATATATATATTCTATTTCAGATCCATGGTAAATAACCAAGTTACAAATTTACAAAGTAGCAATTTCAACCTTTAAAATTGCTTTATAAATTACTCTTGCAAATTCTAGCAAAAAAAATGTTTAGCAAAATGCATATGCATGTTTCAGATCTTCCATCTAAAGACAATGACATCTGCAAGAGTAAAAAGACTGATATAATTTTACTGTGACTTCACAAACACATAGAAAGAAAAAGAATATTAAATTGTTTTTGAAAAATGTATCAAAAACCCTTTATGAGAATGTCCGCAGTTCAGGACTTATTCTGCACAAAATTCACATGTGCTTGTTCTGTACAGGAAGCAGGATCTCTTGTGCAGGAAACAGCATTTTCTGCACAGAAAATAATGCTCCATGGAAATATTGCAATTGGGGACATTCTATGGTTGGTTTTGACCAAAAGTAATATTTTTTATATAGGAAATGGAGTTTCTGTGCAGAAAATAATAAATCTACTCAAAAATATTGTTTTGTGCATAAAAGGCTGTTTCTTACACCAAAAATATTGCTCTCTATAGAGCAGCCACATGAGAATTTTGTGAAAAATAAATCCAGATCTATGTATACTCTTTGAAAACTTATCACATTTCTTTTTTTTTTCTTATGGTATTAAGAAAATTGATAAAATTATTCACTGATCCCTTTGAGAAGAAAGTCAGTGATGAATTACTTCTGGCTTTTATATGTCTTAGCGATGGCCAATGATAATGGGTCTACACAGTTAACATTGTGATTTATCTTCATATATATTGACCCTCCCTGTAGTGATCCAGAATGACAGTACAGGGAAGAAGGGAGCAAATTATAAGAATAGTCAAATCTTCCTGTAAGCAGCCATGGTCTGAGCTACAGTATGTAGGACTTTTAAGGTAAAAGCCAATATCCTGAATTGCACTCAAAAATAAAATAGCATCTAGTGTCATCACCTTCCTATAGTGAATCAGTTAAATGGGACTTCTGCACTGTAAAAATATAACTCTAAAAACATAACCCTACAATTCTAACAATTCCAAAACAGAACAACGGGGCCCATCAAGATAGAGGAAATGTGTTGGTTCACTCTCTCATCAATATCTAAATGTCATTTCCCTCGTCCCTCACAATTTCCTAGCATCTTCCAATACCAGGTATAATATTTTATTCCCATCCTCAAAGAGGATTATTTTAAATAATAAGGTAAATAAATATATGTATATTCCATTCTCTGCCCTCATCCTCATCATCCTCCACTGCCATTACCTTCCTATAGTGCATCAGTGAGATGGGATCTCTGCACTGTAACAACAAAACTCTATTAATTGAAAAAAATAATGTAAAAGATAGGCACATGACACAAAAATTTGTGAAAGTTAGCAAATGCACTGGGATGTACTGAAAACACGAGGGATCATACCTAGAACTGACCATACTTGGAATGGAAGAACTGGTACATCAGTCTATAATATGTTTCATTAGGTATTCTATTATAAAACAATTACAACTGAAAACAAGTAAATAAGCAATATCAGTTAACATCTGAATATTAATTAATACTATAAATAGGCCATGCTTTTGGGGGAATGATTTTTTTTACTTCAGCTGGTATGAGAACACCAAGAATAAAAAAAATCTCTCATAGCAAAAAGGTACACAGCTTTAGTCATCACAAAAAGACAACCCTTTATTTTGTGCCTGCCAATGATGTTTTTCAGAAAATGTAGTGAGTCCATGGATTATTCAGGCTAACCTCAGAGAATAAATAAGAAAATATGGGGGTGACAATCCTTACATTCCTAGTCAGGTAGAATCTGTTGTGTGAACCAAGGTGAACAAACTACAACCCTGAGATCACTTGAAGCCTCCAAAGCATTTGTTCAGTCCTTAATACTTCCAAATTCCCCAGATTATTTGTCTCTCCTGAAACCATTTTAATTAAATTGCAGAATCCCCTTCTCCATTAAAGATGTCTATGAAAAACTGAGTTGGAATTTCAAGGTAGGTAATACACAACCACCACCTCTTCTGCTTCTGCTTCTTCATCATCATCAGTGTGGTGAATCTTCTTCTCAGGAAGTTTTTAAACAGAAGATGGATGGTCATCTGTCAGGAATGCTTTGATTATTTCCTATATGGCAGAATGGGATTGGACTGAGTGGGCCCTTGTGGTCTCTTCCAATTCTATGATTCTAAAATATTTCTATCTGCCTAGTGTGTTTACTCAGTTTTTCCCTCTGTCCTCACCATGCCAGGGGCTGGGACACTTCTGGCACTATTGGTTAGTCCTATTCTATTGGCCTCATTATACCAAACTCTCAGCAATTTTTAGAATTCCTGCAGTCCCTGAGCTTAACACAGGAGCTGGAACAGTGCAGAATATCTGAGATGCTGGCCATAGGCTGGTTTGTGAATTTGGGCAGGGAGGTTGTTTTTGTTTTTGTGGAGTACACAGTATCTGAGAAGGGTGCCCTGAGCTATGCAGAGCTGAATAACATGAGGGGTGCATTTGGTGGGCTCTGACATTACCAAGCTGGCACTGAGGGTCTCTCTGTTATTGAGAGGCACTGGCAGTGAAGTGACTTTCAAATATGTTCCAGCAATATGTATTGCTGTGCTGAATGTTATGAACACATAGAATGCTGTTATTGGGCTGCCACTTACATATTTCTGAAAGAGACAATGCTGAGGCAAAGTTTGGATCACCGCATCATCCAGGCATGTAGGACAAACCTTGGGAAGGTAAGAGATAGGAAGCATCCATACGAGTGCCCTGACACCATTCAAAACTCTGGAGCATTGCATTATTTGGGTTGAGGAGTAGGGTTGCTAGGTGAATTAAGGGACAAATCACCCATCTCTTTAATGGTTTCAGAATTTCAGCTGACAATCCTAGATGGGGGTGCAATTGGTGTATGCCTTTGGCATTCCTCAGTTTATCTAGTTTATATTCTGCCTCTCTACTAAAACTGTTATGTAGGATCACTTAGATGGGCGGGAATTAAGGCTACCATATTAACTAGAATTAAACTGCAATGCACAAAGTTGCCTTCCTTCTGGTAATATGTGTAAGGTTGGGTGAGATTTAACCCTGTGGTACTTTAAATGCTTCAGTTCTTCATTTTTGATATTTGGAGATGACTCATGGTTGAACCTTTGGAAGGGAAATTAGTCTCTGCATGTGCTTAAATGCACTCTATCTTTCATTATTTTTTCCCTATAGCCCTGGACTTTAAACTATCACTTTAAAAAGGGTCCTGAGATTGTCTCCTGCTTCCAAGTCCAGTCCATAACCTGTTTATGTAATGGCTGTTCAATATAGAACTTGCCATTTTTGGTATTTTATAAATGAGCCCCTGGTGGCACAGTGGGTTAACTGCTGAGCTGCTGAACTTGCTGACTGAAAGGTCAGCGGTTCAAATCCAAGGAGCGGGATGAGCTCCCAATGTTAGCCCCAGCTTCTGCCAACCTAGCAGTTCAAAAGCATGCAAATGTGAGTGGATCAATAGATACTACTTCTGCAAGAAGGCAACAATACTCCATGCAGTCATGCCAAACACATGACCTTGGAGGCATCAACAGACAATGCTGGCTCTTCGGCTTAGAAAAGGAGACAAGCATCAACCCCAGAGTTGGACACGACTAGACTGAATGTCAAGGAGAAACCTTTACCTATAAATGCTGAATGGTGCAATCTTATATCTTCTTTCCTTCTTTGTAGGACTGAGGCCTGTGGCTAATGGTCCTAAGCATATTTACTTGCAAATTAATCCTGCTGAGTACACACTGCTTCCTTCCAAATATGGAGTACACACTTGCACCTTCACTACATACCTTGGTTCACTGAATGGTTTGATTTTGGATGAAAGCTAATTGCAATTAAGTATGACAAAATAACAATTTCAAACCCATTTTGAATTGGTTAATGAATAAATATTATTCATTACACAATCACACACACACACATTCATAATATTAGTAGTTACATTATTTTCCAAGTACCCCCATTATCTCCTCGTTGCCACAACTTTGTTACTCCTTAAACATTGTATCTGTGCTTTGCCTGCCACAAAACGTTGCATCATGCAGTGCTCCTGTCAGAGTTCAAACAGCCAGGTATGCTTTCCCACGATTGTATTCCTCCTCCCTCCTATTTCCAACAAAATAGTCATCAATATCACATGCTCAATTAACACGTTCAATCCTTGCTGAGTTTTCAGAAGTTCTGGTCCTTTCATTTTGCACCTTCTCCAAAATGATTTTTGTACTCCTGCAGTCCTTGGGATTATGTCAGTGTTGCTGATAGCTCTTTCATGTGCAGATAGTTCAATTTTAGTTAGATAAGGATAGCCATTCAGTGGGTCTGCTATTACTATGATCAACTTTCAGTAAACAAAAGATACAATTGGACAGGGATCAATATCAAACAAGAAAATGCTTTTGTTTTAAAACATTTACCTCTTTCAGGCATCCCATGAAGTTATTGCTGATTGGAGAACCAGGTAAATCAGCCGTGCTGGGGCTCCCACCCACATAGAAGAAGTCATCTGAACCTAGCATGGTATAGTCCTCTTGTGTGTAGCCTGTGGTGGTAAGGATTCCATCCACAGAGATTGTCACCTGTTTGAAGGACACAATGGACAAAACAAAAAAGAAAGAAAAGAAAAACAAAATTCCCAGCAATGACCTTACAGTTCTTAGAAGAGTAAAACATCTCCCCTACTTTATATGCAACCTTTAGTACAAGTGTTGCTAAACTTTGCTTATTCTGTGTATCTCAGATCCATTTTCTGGTCTGCCTTTTTTGTTTTTGCCCCTTCAGTTCAGTTCCTAAATCTCCTGCTTTCTTAGCTCAATACCTCTAAAGCCAAGGAGAGCTATTCTACAGGTCACAATAGTTTCCATTTACTCAGGCCAGAAAATGGAGCTGCTTTTGAAAGAGAGAGCTTATCTAAGCTGATTTTATGATTAATATGTCGTTATTGGTAGTGATTATTGTTAGTTACAAGCGTTAGTAAAGACACTGATGAAGACGAAGTTGATATATTTGATTTTGCTTCTTTTTTCTTTTTTTTTCTTTTTTGCTCACGGCACACTGACGGTCATGCATTCAGGGAAAGGGGGATGGGAGGGGTCTCACTTCCAATACATTATGGATGAGCATGCTATGTACCTACAGAGACACACACCCACCACCCAGCACCGCAAACAAAAGAGCAAAAAAAGAAAAAGGAAATAAGAAATTAACATTATATACATTGAATATATGTATGTGTGTATATATTCAATTGTATTAATAGAAAAAAAGAAAAAAGAAAATATTAACCACATACCAGCAAGTGTGAGGGACAGAAAATGAGAGTTTACAGAAAGAGGAGAAAATGGCAAGCGTGCACAGACACCATACTTTGACACGCTCATGCCAGTGATACTCAAAGCCCAGAAGAATAGAATGAAAGTGTTAAGAAGGAAAGAGAGAAAAAGATTGAGATTAGAAGGAAGGAAAGAAAGAAGAGAGAGAGACCCATTTTTCACACTTGCATGCAGTCATAAAAAGTTCAAACCAAAACAAAAAGGAAACCAAGGCATAAGGGGAAAAAAATCAAAACCTTTAAAGAAAAGTTAAAAAGTTAAAAAAAAATTCCAAACCCCATTAACACATGGAGGGTGAAGGGAGACGGAAGGGGAGCAAGGGAAAGAAGGTAGTGAAAATGATGTGCGTTCGGTTTAAAGCTGGTATTAGTAGCTTGGAGAAGTGATGGGTGGGAAAGAGTGAGACTTTTAGTGTGGAAAGTGTGGTTGGGGAGAAGATAAGGTTTAACCAGATGGACATGCCATGCAGTGTAGGTACTGAAACAAACAACCGGCTGAGCTTCTTTTGGCCATGGCAGGTGAGGTCAGGGAGAGAAAGAGAGAATATATGGGAAGCTGGCAGGAGGAAAAAGTTAGAATGAAATGGGGAAGAAGAGGAAAGCTCTGGCCAGTTTTGCCTACAACAGCCGTTGCCACAACAAAAGGATGAGAGGGGAAAAGACCGGCCTCACCACAACAAACTATAAGCCCTGACATGATTGTTGAGCTAAAAAAAACCTTCAGAAAATTCAAAGAAATGGAGAGGCAAAAAAAGAGAGCATGAAAGAAAGTAAACCAGAAGAAAAGAGAAAAACTTTATAAAGCATTGAGGGAAAATTATTTCTCAGGGGGAAAAATATGTGAAGTGGAGAAGCTAATGAAGAAGAAAAAGATGAAACCCCATTTCCAGAACTGTTGTATTTGTTTGTTTGCTTCTTGGTTTTTTCTTAAAGAAAATATTTGTTTTTAAAAATTAAAAAAATAAAGAGGAAGAAAAGGTGTTTACAGCAAAATCAAAAGAAAAATTGAAAGGGGCAGGGAAGTATAAAAAGGAGGGGAAAACAGGACGGGGGATGGAGAGGTAAAGGCAGGTAACACACGGCAAACCCAAAAAAAGAGACAATAAGAATGATATCTACCAGACAATGTAGTTTGTTTACCATAGCGTGTCCAATGCCTGAGTGCTTTGCGGAAAAGGGGGAAGAAAGGAAATTAAAAAATTGTGAACAGAACGATTGTTAATTAAAATAACTAAAAGCAAAGATGAGTCGTTAGGGTGTTAGTACATTAGTTGGTTAGTAAAAATGACACATTGCATGAATGGTCTAGTGTTAGTCTTTCAAAAAAAGGTGTGGGGCACCCGACACACACAGAGTGAGAAAGAGGACAATATGAGCAGGACTGTCTGGGAAACCATGCCATATAGATTGTTAGGAAAAAGGGAGCTGCCTACCCTTCCCATACTCCTGGTACTATTTCTTGCCCCCCAACCTTTAATTACCCCTCCCCAAAACAAAACAAAACCTTGGATTAAATTAAAAGAATATAAATAATACTTACTTTCCAAAGGCCCAGCAAAAGCATAATTCCCATCTCTATCTCTCCATCCCACATAACAAATATATACCATCATGAGAGATATCAAGCATATCCCATCCCACCACCCAGTCAATCTCTATCTCCTTTAGTTATTCCAAATATTGCTACCTGCAGATGCTCCTTAGTTATTCTAACCAACCGAGTATATCTCCTAGGTGCAAGCTCTTGCTTGACGATTCGCTGAGGATGTTCTTCCCATCCCTCAATTTCCAGATTTCTATCTAAAGTAGTTTGATTCTTAGCTCTCAGGAAAGACATACAGAATATGAAAGGCTGGACTAACAGAGACAACGTGTAGCTCACCTGTAATACTGAGGAAGGTGGGGAGAAGGTTGCCTAACCGTGGAAGGCATGATGACTTCTTGTATCAGCCATTTTGGAATAAAGGGAGGGTGGTTGATAAAATTTAACATATGGAAAAAGTATGCCTCTAATAGTCATTGGTACGGTTGCAGAACTGGCTTCCAGCGCCTAAGCCTCTACGGGGGTACTATTGCTTAGTGGAGAAACAGACAGGTACACTTCTGATTCTTAACAAAAATGCCATGGTTGATTGACTCTAATATAGATGTTTATTAATATGGTTGCATATCTTTTTAAAAGACTTTAAAAATATAATCCAAATCTCTTTTAGCATTTTCAACAGGGCCACTTTAAATTAAACTGTCATGGAAATTCCACTAATTTAATTAGAGATTGAAATAATTCAACAGGCACAAACTGAGGGTTCTTCTACTTCAATGTTATCTTTGATAAATGGGGAATGAAAATAGGGTTCTCTCATGTCTTGTAAGTATTCCTTATTGGAAGATGAGCAGCAAGTGAGGATATATTTTTATCTCTGTAGGGAAGAGTTTCATGGGGAAGGACTTCATGGAGTGACATCAGCTAGACTATGACTGAGCTAGGTCCAGATACTCCATGTGCTAGATTGTCTTCTCCTGTTTTAAACTATTGTTGGTTGATTTTAATAGGCAGCTATTCCGGTCTCATTTAACAACTTTTATTTATTTTATTGGTGTTTTATTTGCTTTGTGTAACTTTTAAAATACAGATTTCATTAGATGTGTATGCTTTGAGAGCTTCTATTTAGTATTTCATCATATTTTCCTTCTTCATCTCATTTTATTATACTTTTTTCCTTTCCATGGCTGTTAGCATTCTTCAACCCTATTTGATAGAAAGGCACAATACAAATTTAACATCATCTATTTCTAGTCGGTATTTGTTTGGAGAACTGCAGCATGGAGTAATCATGTGCTGATTTCTTTTCGATCATTTTTGATTATAGAAATTAATACTTTGAGAATCTTCAGTTCACATACTGCAGGGCATGCCAGAAGTGCTCTTATCCCTCACTTGATGAGGGGAAAAATACAGCAGAGGAAAAGGTTACCAGAGATCATGAAGAGTTATTGTCAGACATTAAACAGAACTCAATTTTTGTATATTCTTATTTATTTGGGGTGGGGCATGGGTACAGTAATCCTGTAAATAATGCTTCTCTGAAAGTGCTGGTGAAAGATATCAAGAATCCCATTACTACTGGAAAGGCTTACTAAACCATGGTAATTTAAATACCAGTATCTATTCAACTAACATTAGCAATGAATGCTTAAAAAAACTAAATGGGTTAGGTATAAGCTAATTTACATCTATGATCATATCAAATGATAAAGTTTTTATTGACTGTATAATTTCCGGCTGTACTATATTAGGTTATAGATGCAAGAACTATATGCCTGAATACCTACTAGGGATGTACAGTGCGCCTTTGGTATCAGCTTACATTTGGTTCTCACACCCCCTGTAGACACCAAAAACCTGTGGATGCCCAAGTCCCATTATATACAATGATGTAGTAAAAGGACAACCACCTATATATAATGGTTAGAAACTCAAGTGAGAGCACTAGAAAGTCTGGAGATCTGTGAAATGGCAAAAAGGTATGCCTACACATCAGTGTAATTCTTGCCATACAGTCAAATCAATTGCTGTTTTGACCCCCCCCCCTCATATATATATATATATATGGGGGGGGGGTCAAAACAGCAATTGATTTGACTGTATGGCAAGAATTACACTGATGTGTAGGCATACCTTTTTGCCATTTCACATATCTCCAGACTTTCTAGTGCTCTCACTTGAGTTTCTAACCATTATATATAGGTGGTTGTCCTTTATATATATATATATATATATATATATATATATATAAGTATATATATATATACTTTGGTTGGGCTGAATCTGTGGGTGCAAAGAAGAACTGTACATCCTGCCTTAATTTGTCACTGTATATGAGAACACTGTTCCTTCTGAGCTGGTATAAAACACCAGCAATGGACCCTGGGACTGAGTTTTGTGGGAAAACGCAGGATATAAATAAAACTAATTGATTTTTAAAGGGGAAAGACCCTTGTAACATGAGCTTGATATTTTTGTGTTGGGTGTTTAGAGGTTTATGTTTTTAACTGATTTAAATATTTTGATATGGATGAGGGATTGAGGACATCCAACCCCAAATTGGGAAAGAAGTCGTCCAGGAATAACTGGCCGCTCTTAATGAGTTCAAGTCCCCAGGGCCAGATCAACTACACCCCAGAGTATTGAAGGAACTAGCGGAAGTCATTTCGGAACCATTGGCAACCATCTTTGAGAGTTCTTGGAGAACGGGAGAAGTTCCAGCAGATTGGAGGAGGGCCAATGTGGTCCCAATTTTCAAGAAGGGAAAAAAGGATGACCCAAACAACTACCGTCCGGTCAGCCTCACGTCGATACCGGGCAAGATTCTGGAAAAGATTGTTAAGGAAGCGGTCTGCAAACACTTAGAAACAAATGCAGTCATCGCTAATAGTCAACATGGATTTATCAAAAACAAGTCATGCCAGACTAATCTGATCTCTTTCTTCGATAGAGCTACAAGCTGGGTAGATGCGGGGAATGCCGTGGATGTAGCGTACCTGGATTTCAGTAAGGCCTTCGACAAGGTCCCCCATGACCTTCTGGCAAGGAAACTAGTCCAATGTGGGCTAGGCAAAACTACGGTGAGGTGGATCTGTAATTGGTTAAGTCGACGAACACAGAGAGTGCTCACTAATGCTTCCTCTTCATCTTGGAAAGAAGTGACAAGTGGAGTGCCGCAGGGTTCCGTCCTGGGCCCGGTCCTGTTCATCTTTATTAATGACTTAGATGAAGGGCTAGAAGGCATGATCATCAAGTTTGCAGACGACACCAAATTGGGAGGGATAGCCAATACTCCAGAGGACAGGAGCAGAATTCAAAACGATCTTGACAGATTAGAGAGATGGGCCAAAACTAACAAAATGAAGTTCAACAGTGACAAATGCAAGATACTCCACTTTGGCAGAAAAAAATGAAATGCAAAGATACAGAATGGGGACGCCTGGCTCGAGAGCAGTACGTGTGAAAAAGATCTTGGAGTCCTCGTGGACAACAAGTTAAACATGAGCCAACAATGTGATGTGGCGGCAAAAAAAGCCAATGGGATTTTGGCCTGTATCAATAGGAGCATAGTGTCTAGATCTAAGGAAGTAATGCTACCCCTCTATTCTGCTTTGGTTAGACCACATCTGGAATATTGTGTCCAATTCTGGGCACCACAATTCAAGAGAGATATTGACAAGCTGGAATGTGTCCAGAGGAGGGCGACTAAAATGATCAAGGGTCTGGAGAACAAGCCATATGAGGAGCGGCTTAGGGAACTGGGCATGTTTAGCCTGAAGAAGAGAAGGCTGAGAGGAGATATGATAGCCATGTATAAATATGTGAGAGGAAGCCACAGGGAGGAGGGAGCAAGCTTGTTTTCTGCTTCCCTGGAGACTAGGACAGGGAACAATGGCTTCAAACTACAAGAGAGGAGATTCCATCTGAACATGAGGAAGAACTTCCTGACTGTGAGAGCCGTTCAGCAGTGGAACTCTCTGCCCCGGAGTGTGGTGGAGGCTCCTTCTTTGGAAGCTTTTAAACAGAGGCTGGATGGCCATCTGTCAGGGGTGATTTGAATGCAATATTCCTGCTTCTTGGCAGGGGGTTGGACTGGATGACCCATGAGGTCTCTTCCAACTCTTTGATTCTATGATTCTATGATATTTTGGTTACCTTTTAATATTTGTATGCTGTGAATTTTTACCTATGCTCGTCTTAACTGTTGTAGGCCACCTTGAATACCAAACTGGGGAAAAGTGGGATATGAGATGTTGATGATGATAACAACAACTAATATTAGTTTCAACTCATAGGAAATTTGCACATTTTTGTGACAGGTATTTATGTGCAAACGAACTGCTTATTCCATGGATGCCATCTATATGTTCTTGTGTGCATGCTCACTTTGTGAAAAGGAAAAGGCATTGGCTTTATAATTTTGCACATGATGTGGGTAAATGGCATCTGAGCCTCAAGGTGTAAGTGAAATATCTTAAAGAGGCAGAGAATCTGCAATGTGTTATCTCATATTGCTATGGTGGCTAGGCAGAGTTAGTAGCTTGGCAACTGCAATCATCCCTAATTGGTTTAGAAACAGAAAAAAATCTCCTTCACAGAGCAGGATGAATGTTAGTTAGCAAAGGTCCTAGTATGCTAGTTTCCACTGTGCTTGGTATTTTGTCTCCATGCAACAACATTGATCTCAAACTTGAAGTCTGAAGAGGTATAGCTAAGTAAGTTCTGTTATGTGTTATTTTGGAATGTATATACAGTCAGCCCTTTGTATCCATGAGTTCTGTATCCACAGATTCAACCATTCATGGCATGAAAGGGTTTTTTTAAAAAAAAATTCAAAAGTACATCTTGATTTGCCATTTTATTTGGGGAACTCTATGTTACTATGGCATTGTATATAATGGAAAGTTGTTATCTACAAGGTTCCAGTAACCAAACTTAAGTAGATATCTTTGCCTTATAAGAAAATTAGAAAGATCTGTTATAATCTCCACTCATAACACTAATGCCTGTTGTCCTCTGTCCCTGCATTTTGCACAGGCATCTCTGACATGTCAGGAAGACTACATTTCCTTGGGACAGCACTTGTCACTGAAGACTGATTCTCACCCATTCCAAGAAAAAATAATATACTTCATTAAACAAAATGGTCAATGAGGCAGAGAGAGGATTTCAGAAATTAACCATTCTGAAAATGTCAAAAAAATGAATAAGCAAGTTATATTTTAAAAATGCATTTTGAAGCTGACGGTCCTTTACTGGGCTGCTGAAAATATTTGAATGAAATGGGATCATTAGCCCATCCACTGAAAGTGAAATGAAATCTGCATCTGTATATGATCCAGGGGAAATAAATAAACATTGCCTTCAGTTTCAACCTTGCAGTTCTCTGTCACTTTGAGCAGAATTGAGTGTGACACTGCTGCTTACACACAGATACACCAGATTTGCTGAAATGAAAAATTGTGTGTGTATTTTGGGAGGGGGTGGGTGGGTAGAGAATATTGTACTGTACTGGAAAACTGAGAAATGTTATGATTAGTGTCTATTTTAAAATATGGCAGGAAAATAATAAAAAAAACATTAAAAGTTTACTTGTTCTCTAATATCTAAGATTAACTGTTCCAGACAATGGAGATTTTTAAAAAAAAAAAAAAAAAAACTTCCTATCTGTGTTTGTAAAAGAACATATTAGATAGGAAATCTGGTATTTTAAAGTTTAATAAATTAGTCAAAACTAAAAAAATGCTTATAAATAGTCCTGGAACAATCTTCGATAGTAAAAAATAAAAATAAAATAAAACCAACAGCAGGGTACTAGATTGTCAATAGAACGTGAGCCTGAAATAACTCAACCACCTACTCCAGTATTAATATCATCCTTAACATTTGATAATTGGTGAAAGCCAGCAACAGCAAATCTAATTAAAGGGTTGCAAAGGTAATCAGGAATCTACATACCAATGAGTCTAATTTTAATGTGAGAAAGTTGTAGAAAATTCAGTGAAAAAAGCAACTTATTATCCTTACTTTGTTCCAACCTCTAAATGAAATCTAGCATTTACTTATTAAAGTGTGCAATAAATTACAGTCATATTCATTTGTTATCCCTTTAAAGTTCTTTCATATCTTGAAACATTGCTCACACCCATCGATACTTTAAAATTACGGTACTTGTTTGACCCAACTCTTGGTTACATGTGATCTATCTCAGGTACTGAAATTGTGGTATGTTGTAAAATGTAATTTTAGATAATACTAAAATTTAATTTAAAGACATGCCAAAGTTGAATATCTGCCACTACATTCTGAGAAGGCATCAGTGGAACAAGAAAGGTTAAGAACCCCTGACCTAAATCACAGCAAGTAACCTAAATCACAGCAAGTGACCTAAATCACAGTAAGATGACTGGATACTAGAGACTTGTGGGTTTATTTTGTTCCCTCTGCTTATACAAATGTTGTTCTTACTCCATAGTTGAAGTCTATAAAGGGTGTGGCCCAGTCACTGGAAGGCTTGTTAGCATTCAGAATGAGCATTCCTAAATGTCCAGAAACTCTCTTTCCAAGTGGGAAAAATGTATGTGGGTAGGACTGCATAGACAATTATGCATCCACTAATATTTTTTTCTTTAAATACTGAAGTGCTTATTATGCATTGCAATAAGTAAAAGTAAATCAGTCTTACAAACTGTCCTTTAAAACTATGTCCCACACGAATACAACTGCAGGTAAAATAATTATATGTATTATATTTAGAGGACTGAATCATTCAAGTGTATCTCAAATGGTGCCAAAATTTTTATAGATGCACCTTAGAACCTTCCAATCTAACATTTCGGAGAAGAAATGAGAACTTAATTGCTTATTTTGCTTAAGGACGGCTGACACTGGGAGGCTGTGGAAACTGAACCTAATTATGCAAGGAAATGTCCATGGGGAAAAAAAGATTTTCCTGGCCCCCCAACTGTGATTAATGTCCTTAGGCATGAGGATTATTACTCTCTATTAGCACAAGCATTCTCTGAAGGCACTTTTTTTTCCAGCCTGTAAAGTTGCATAAAATGATTGGTATTAACATTTATTTGAGCAAACAAACAGACTATATTTTGCTTACTTTAACAAGTATGGGTTGGATACTTGGATTTTTTAAAGCAACTATAAAGTATTAATTTGAAAGAATATCACATTACAAGCTATTTGTATAACATTTACCAATCAATAAGGCCCCAAGTAGTTTACATACATACATATTATAAAGCTCATTAGTCATAGAGCACAGGGACTCAAGTGACTTGATATATTTCACCAGCTTTCAGAAGCAAGGTTATTTAAATTTATCTTACCTATTAAAAGTTCATATTTATATTTCATGAGAAAGAAAGGTTTCAATATTTCAATGCTGTCTGTTCAAGTGAGTGTATCTCCTGATGAAGCTGTCTGCTTAGAGAAGGAAGAATTGGAATTATGATAAGACAAACTAAAATAAGGTGGAAGGAAGAGGAGGGGCTCTTTAAAGGTGGCCTGGGTTAGTAGGTTGTTTCTTTTTCTGAAGTCCTCTTGGGGGAAAAGTGGAAAGAGACAAGGGCAGCAGCAGTGTAGACTCATAATGCAAACCAAAGCAAAGAAATAAGGAGATCTGAAAGAAGTACGTCTAGTTAAGTGTCAGGAGCAAAAAGTTAAAATAAGAAACTCACACATAAAGAAAAAAGAGGAAGGGGGAGGAAGGTAGAAATAAAGACTAGTATTGGCTCAGTCCACTGGAAAGTTCTCTCACACAAATTGTCATAAAAATCACTTGCTGAAATGCTTTCTACTGCTAGAGATTTGCATTAGGAGAACATTCAAGTGGATTGGACCCCATACAGAATTAGAGTAATGACATCATGGAAATGGTTAAATCAATTAACAGGACATAAAGGAGAGAAAAGGGAGCAGATAAAGCGGCTGCAGAAAATAGTCTCCATTCCTACTGTAATTAAATGCAACAAGAATATTACTGATAAGATTGAAATGTAATTAAGGAAATAATAAAGAGAGAGAAAAGGAGTGGGAAAGAGCAAAGGAAAAGGGAGATGAAAGTAAAGTTAAGTCACAAAATCATATTGTTAAATCAAATTGGGGAGGGGAGAGAGAAAATTATTTAGTGGGAATGAAGATATTGCAGTGTGGCTAGGTTATAGTAAATTAATGAGCACTTGTTTTCCTTCCAGATACAGAACAAATTTAGGGTACAAATGCTTTGCTACTCCCACCCAAGGCCCTATTTATCTAAAAACTGCCCTCTAACGGCCCAGCTATCCCAGCTGTGATTCACTAGAGAGGAGCCTTCCCAGCCTTCCCTCTCTTTCCCCATTACCTGCCGTAAGTTGCGAGTCACTTTAACGTCGTGCCACTGGTTGTCATTAAATTTGCCACTGACTGGCTCCACAATGGCCTCAAAGGCTCCGGACCCCAGATTAATGATCAGCGAGACTGCGCCATCTTTCAGAGCCAAGTTGACGTAATCGGCCGACTTGCCCGTGTGCAGGATAAGCCCATTGCGCTGCCATGTCTTGAAAGAGAGAGTGATCTCATCACTGCTGCTTTGAATGGGGTTCTGGGAGAGGTCGTAGCACAGGTATTCAGAGCCACGGAAGGTGGCCACATTCTCTTCTCTCGCTACAGAAGGACAAAGAGAAAGACAGTAGGTTGGTCAGTGCTATCAAATGTAAAAATAGCATTTTTTTCAAAAACTCTTCTGGCATTTAATGGCTGCCTTTGCAGCAGCCACATCTTTTGTAGATTGCCAGAAATGTGTATACAAAGGAATCCCTGAAAGGTCTCATTCTGCTAGATAGAATATGGCCATGGTGGTCCATGGTGGTCCATGCCTTATAGTTACATCTCAAATGGATTATTGTAACACATTCTGTGTGGGGCTGCCTTTGAAGATGGCTTGGAAATTACAACCAGTACAAAGATTGGTAGCCAAGCTAGACTGAGGCTAGCTATAGAAAGCACACCACACCCCTATTAAAGTAGCTCCATTGGCTGCCTATAACTTTCCAGTCCCAATTCAAAGTGAAGGTTATTACCCACAAAGCCCTAAGGTCCAGCCTATCTACGTGACTGCATCAGCCCCTATGAGCCTGCGCAGGCTCTAAGATCTGCCGGGGAAAGCCCTCCTTTCAGTCCCACCCCTGTTCCAAACATGGTTGAGGGTGAGGGCCTTCTCGGTTGTGGCCCTCTGGCTTTGAAACACCTTACCCAGGGAAATCAGGCAGATCCCCACACTTCAATCTTTTTGGAGGGTGCTGAAGACATGTTTTTTTAAAGTTGTTAAAACCTTTTACCTTAAAAAGATTGCCCTTATCTCTGATACTCTACAAGGAGGCTCCAAAGCCATCTGGTATTTTGAAGTCTTCCAAAGGACTTACAAGAATTACAGAGCAGGCTTAAAATAGAAATTCAAACCAAGCATAGCCAAATTTCACAGGAGGAAGCTCAGTTTGGAATATTACTTTTAAATGTAATTATTTGCTCTTTGCTCATTTTAAAAATGACTTGTTGACGTTATGCATTTTTTGCTACAGTGTCATATCAATTGGCATTGTATTATTGCATGACTAACATGTTACTTTTTCATCATCGCCACCATTATACTTTCAAAATAAAAGCTTATCTCAAATCTTCTCAAATGCCTCTCTCATTGTGACTTTAGGAATAGCTAATAAACATTACTCCTTATACTGAAACAATTAATGCCAATGCCAGTAATTATATTGTGGGAGGTGAAGCAACTCAATTCTGCTTTCATTATGTCAAAAGTAATGCATTTACATAATATCAGCATTTGAAATACATTACTTCCTATTATGGGAATGAATTTAAACTGATTAAACAACTTATGAGGAAGGAATAATTGTTACTCCAGCAAGTGGTCATAAGTAGTATGTATATGTCGACCTCATGTATAAGTACCTCTTCACACATGCTGCCAGAATTGCCACGAATCATGGCAATTCCAGTAGTTCCTGTCCAGGGATGTGGGGAACCAGTCGCCCCTTGCTCCTCATTGCCCGACTCACCCATGTCCCCATCCCATGGGGAAAAGTGTCCAGTGCCTGGCTTCCAAGTCAATACGGGAAGCCTCCTGTGTGGCTGCCACAGCTGCATGCACTGGCTCGCCTTCTCCTTTACAATGGAGCCCCATCTGAAGTCACAGTGTATCAAGGGATGTAAGCCATTGGGCTCCATCATAAAACAGAACATGCCCCTGATCTCACTCTCATCTGCTAAGGTTATAAGTCAAGAGCAGGGTTTGGGGCCAAAATTATGGATTTTGGTATTCCCCATGGATAAGTTGAGAATCATTCTGCAGAGAAGGGAAAGCCCCAATCCTGTTTCAGGAGGCTAACCAACTCTGGCTGCCACCATTTTCCCATCCGAACATTCAAAAAGGACATAAGCAGGAGATAATAGAACAAGTTAGTGTTTTTTTCAGGTTCTTGTGGGATGGACTAAGTTCTTGCCTTTTGCCACTTTACATACAAAAGAAGATGGTTCCCATTGTGTAAGAGCTAAGGTACAGTACTCAGATGACATGTGGATAACTCAACACAGGTTTTTGGATTTCTAGACTATATCTAAGTATATGGGGAAATAATGCAAACCATGACATGAGGAGAAGGTGCAACTCAAAACAAGACGATGGTAAGCTAGGCCACCAGTTGCTTCTTCCTGCACTAGACCAACGCACTGGACAAAACTAAAGCTACTCTTGCCTTTGTAGCAGGGATTTGTGACTTCCACACTTCCATATTAAAACATGTAGTTTCACCACTGTGAGCTCCTGATTCTGACTTACACTTGGCATTACCCTTTTTACACAATGTTTGCCATACAGTTAGGGCATGAATGAGCAGTGAATGAATAAAAAGTGAGAAATGCTATTCTGAACCTACTCTGGTAAATTCACCAGAGCAGTAAAATGAAGTTAATTCAGATCTTCTGATGCTAGCCCATGACTAGCAGGCATCTTAGTATTTTCTGAGTCACAGAATCTCTTAGCTCTTTCTCTCTGAAGAATAGCAGTTCTTCATTTAACCATCTAACAAAGTGTGCAAAGGCGGGAAATTTATCATGGGTTAGTTTTATTGTGAAATCGGCATTGTCTATGGAATCGTCTAACAGATAATTTAATGTAACTAATTAACTGCTTTTGACAAATTGTTCTTTAGCCACTAGGGTTTTAAAAATTGACTAATAACAAAAGTCAATTATCTTGATAGAGTTCTCCTTGGTTTTAATCCATTAGTCAAGACAACTATGCTACATTATAGGATAAAGCTGAAAGAACGGAGTATGGAACCCAAGATATGGTTTTCCCAGTAAAGGACTGTTTGGCAGTAGTTGTGGGTGCCAGCCACAGTAACCAAAGGATTTTACTAATTGCGGTGGATTTTCCTGAAGAGGAACCCATTCATCAGCCTCATAGACTGAATCCAGAGAAAATTGTACTTAGGTACTACTAAAATGTATGGAATAACTTTATTTTAAGAGAACTAAACTTGCACTGAGCCTGAATAGAAAACTAGCTGTCTTCACAATGTCTCTGCACTTCCAGTGAATAGTGTGAGTTATGCTGGGTTAAGCTGCCTTTACTACATTTCAGGCAAAGTCACAGGATGCTCCAGAGTTTGCCTGAAACTTTGGAGTATCCATGATTTTGAGGCATTGTAGACAACTGGGTCAGATCCAACTCAGACTGGTCTGCTGTCCACATGGGGCAATGCTACCATCATTTCCCCCTATGATTGTCACTGCAGGAAAAAGGGAATGCATCTCATCTATGTCACCACAATCACTATTCCCATATAGCCATGGAGGTACGTGTGAGCTCTGGCTGTCATGGGCACACCATTCTAACATCCTCAGAGGTACCAGCATGATTAGGATGAGGGTGTGGAGATCTGCCCCCTCCTTCTTCATAGTCATGCGGACACTTCTGCTGATGGGAATGGCGTGTCCACAGTGGCCAAGAGCTAGTGCAGAACTGCAGCTGGCTGATAACAGTTATGGTGACACAGAAAGTGAGGTGATATCCATCATGACACCATGATTTCAGCCCAGATAAACCATGTGGATTCCAACCTGCCACTGCAGCTGGTTTAAGAGCATGTCTGTAGCCACCTCCTGGGCTGGCTTGGAGCATTTCTGCTCTGGACTGGCCCTGGCTTTATCAGTCAGTTTAGATTCACTTGAAATATTTATTTACCACATAATTATGTAGTAATCACATATTTGAAGAACACTGTATATTAATTACTCCATGGCACAAAATGGCCATGCTTATTCACATCATATTCTCTGAAAGAGTAGTGATGATTTATTCAATATTATTTTATCAGGGATAATTTTATATATAAACCATAAATATGCACTACATGCAAACTATATACAACATACAAATATTTGCAAACAATAAGTATGCGCACATGCTTTTTATGTAACTCAACACACTGTCCATTAGTACATGAGCTGCTATTAACATGTTGTGGCTGTTTATTTTATTCATTGATATCCTGCCTTTCATCCAATAATAGGTCTAAAGGTGGCTAATATTTTTTTAAAAAACAATACATATAAAAATTACAGCAATCTGAACCAGAAGAACAACTGACAACAATTCCGAGGCACTGCAAGCCAAGGACTTAATGGCTTTCCCCTTTTCCTCTCTGCTACATTAATTTCCTGGCCTAGTTGATTCTGATCCAAAAGAAGGAAATGTGTTACCATCAACTCAAACACATGCTCTATATACCTGCAGGTAGTTCTGATGAAAGAGCTTGAGTCTGAGGTCAGATGTCAAATGTAGTCATTATAACTGAGCCATTTCCCCACAACCAAAGTTTTTTGAAGCACTGCATATACATTTAAAGGGCTAGGAAGAGGACAAAGTGAATGTGTGCTCAGTAAGTTATATTAATACGCCTCACAACTTCAGCTATTTTAATTGTATTTAATTGTATTTAAGTGAATTGTTTGATGCAATTGTTCAAATGAATTTTAGGGTATGAAGCTGAATATTAATTCAGAAAAATAATTACATCACAGGTTTTTAAAATACATTATTTTGGATATTTCAGACATGTAATCAACGTCAATTTTGATAAATACTTTAGAAACCTTTTTAAAAGCAACGAGGCTAACTTTTGTGTAAATATTTGCAGGACTATACTATACGAACCTATCCTGTCATCACCATGGTGAATGACTTACCCAGAGAGCGGGACAGGGGGACGGGATGTTCCTGTTAGTTCTATAGGATTATTCAGTGAGTTTCAAAACCAGAGGTGTCAAACTTGTTGTCCTTCACATGTGTGGGCTTCCAACTCCCAGAAGCCCTAGCTAGCTTGTACAATAGCCAGGAATTCTGGGAGCTGAATTCCAAAACACCTGAAGAGCCACAAGTTTGACACCACTGGGCTTAAAACCCTTCTTGGACAGGACACTTCTCTGGGATAGGACTTGGGGACACTCATCTTATTTATTTATTTATTTATTTATTTATTTATACTACATTTATAGCCCACCCTTCTCACCCCAGTGGGGGACTCAGGGTGGCTTACAATCCATGGCATACAATGCCGCATTACACATATAATAATAAATATAGC